TGTTCGATGAAATATCGTAGACTTACAGAGGATCTGATAGAGGTATTTAGGATTACGGAACGGTTAGACAAAGTGGAGCTACAAGGAACACTGGAAATTAGGCCGAGACTTAGAAAAAATCAGCTCCAATTAGCAAAGGGTCAGTCTTGCCGGCCTTTGTGGCTTTTTGTATGCCTGATGCATTGTTTCCCTCTATGTCTTTATATAGACCTCATTTGCACACACTGGCGCCGCGCTGTGGTCGGTACAGAAACTAGTAATTGGAACTGTGTCCTGGAGGTTTCGTGGCAGGCAGATGGTCGTGTTGACGTTTGGCAGCGTGGAGCGAAAATACCATCCAAGGTCACAGGCTCGAGTAGCACAAGTGCGTCGCAACACCCCACGTCCAACGATAATGGCGGCTCGATTGCGTCACGTGCCGGGCGCCATCGACCCGGCCGCTCGTGGCTCGACCGACCGTTCCGAGGAAGAATGCGCGGAATGCGCAATTAAACCGAAATCGGCCGCTGCTCGAAATGCGCCATATCAGGCTTCGAAAAAAGATATCTGAGCTTAAGACAGACTTCATACAGCTTCTCAGGACGAGCCGCGTCGAAAAATAGCGCACTGCTGACACAGCGTTTAAATAGCAGTGCATCGATGACCGGCTAGACCGTTCAGTGTTGGGCATTTGCATGCGCAGTTTGCCAGTTTTTTTTAACCCACCACGCCGCTGACGATAACTGAAATCGAGAGTACAATAGCCAAAACACCCGAACACATCTTACGCCGATGCGCACTTGTTCCATCCGTTGGTGCACAAAGAATATCGTAAACCGACGAACGCGGCTCGCGCAACGAGGCGCGTGCGAAGCTGTGCAAGCACCAACGTGACGACTCAAACCCCCGCCGCCTGCCCACCTGCCAGTCTCATCAGTCAGGTGAGCTACTGCAGAGGTGGCTGCCAGCCATGCGCCTGGCTCTCAGAGCTGGTTCCTGGTCCCTGACTGCTCCGTCACGAAGACCAGACGCTGGGTCTCGCTTGCCACTGGTTCTTTCGTAAACGCCAGATACTAGTTCCTGGGTTCCATTAAACATCACGCCCTGGTTCCTGGTTCCCACTTATTCCACACTTATTCCTTCGTGAGGACTATGGTCAGGTTCCTGGTTCCCACTTATTCCTTCGCGAGGACTAGGGCCTGGTTCCTGGTTCCCACTGATTCCTTGCCCACACCAGATCCCCGCTGCTGGCTCCTATTAGCTTTCTTACATAACACCACATCCTAATTCCTGTTCTCGCTGGTTTCCTCAATCCAACTGTTTCTTAGTTCATGCAACGTCCCCAGCATCACTGCAGGCCACACATCGTTCTTGCTGGATCTCTCGGGTTCATGCCAGGCTGGATCCTAGTTCTTACTGGCTCCGTTAACATGACCAAGTACCGGATCCTGGTTCTGGCTGGGTATGCGACTTGTTTCAATACCGGTCGTTGTCTTCTTCCGGGTTTTAAACCCAGCAACCAAATGGCGAGAAGTAAGATTGGGAGCCCGCCACATGTCTCAGTGGCCGTATGTTTGTTTAGCAAGGCCTGCAGCGTCAACACACGGTCCCGAAGCCTTTTGCGACCCAAGAATAACGTGTTTTTGAAGCAGTTTATCTGTAAGCCAGCCACGCGGAGTAAGCGGCGGGCACGTCACACTTTTTCTTCGACGCGAAAGAGGCTACCTCGCACCCAGACTTACGCAAGAGCAATCGCTACAGACGGAGTTTTCCGTCTCCACGGCCAGGCAGTGACATCTGGAATGCAGGCTTGATCCGGCGCTGGAAGCGCCGTCCGGTAGCGTCAACAAGCCGCCAGAACCGCCGTCAAACCACAGCCGGTGCCCTAATGCCCCGCTCCCGTCAGCTCGGACATGCCGACCAGCGACTCGGATCGCCCGGACCCCTTACATAAACGCGGCCGAGTCCCAGTCCAGCTGTTCAATAAACACACGTCCAACGCGGGCTGACGGCATGATCTTGGATCGGAGGAAAACACACAGGAGACGGAGCACAAACACTTCTCGCAGCTCGACAAGCAGTTCCCGCAAAACATACAATCACGTGCGATCAACTCTGCATAACACATCAAGGTTAACCTCTTCCAAATCAGCGCAGATCCGACACTGCCCGCTCGCGTCTTTCACGCCTCACATCAGACGTCGTGTATTCGGACAGATTATGCGGATACGAGTGAATGGATGGCGAATGGATGGGGTGGGACATTACAGCGTACGACGGCGGCAGGACGGCGGTTTGCTTCGTCAGCATGCTCTTGTGACAACCGCCCGTGCTCGACGCCAAAATCCTGTTGGATGATCTCATACGTCTCGGAATCCCGTTTCTGATAGTGCAATTCGCCGTGTCGGGAATGATGCCAAGGTGACGCCGACACTGTCTAGATGGCAGGTGGCCAAGCTTCAGTCCGAGGTGATTAGGTTTTCAATCAAATGTCAGGTTCCACAATTTTATGAGTTTTTCATTCCCTGCGGTTCAAAATTATGCCGTTTTTTAAGCCTCCATATCCCCCCCGTTTCTCAGCCAGACACACACAAACTTGCACAGCCCATTTCGCGCCGCCTTCCTTGAAGTCATTCAGAAATTAATGACGTCTATGACGTCACACATCCTGTCAGACGAATTGCACCTTCTCAGTGGCCATTAAGGAAGAGGCCCTGGCTCGTGTGTTCAAGGTCATGAAAACAATGACCGCTGACTTATTCGTATTTGGAGTGCTTCAACACGGATCGCCTTGTCAACATACAGCAGATAGCTAGCGACCAGCCAAACACATCAAACGAAGTTCTCGATCATTGATCACGTTTTGAGATACATAATACAGGAATTTCGGTACCTTTTTTCCTACGGGTTATGGCAGAGATGAGACTGGGAATCGATTAACTTAAGAATAGAGCCGCCAACGAGAATGCGAATGCAAGTGCCATACTATAAAATCACGAAGGCAGATACAACAACGACAGGGGAAAACGCCGAGACAGGTGCACATGACGACCGTGAGGTTTAGCATGCGCGCACATATTAACAAGCCATTTTGCGGCAAGTTGAAAAATTTCAAGCATGTCGACACGTTCGCTACAGTGGTGATTCTGACACAGCCAGTCTGACAGCGACTCTGCCCGTCATAAAAAACGCTTCATGATAAAATCAAACGATGAGGTATTGAGGAGAATATTAACTAAGCAGTGAAATTTTATCTAAAGCAGGCCTTGCACTTAAAAGCATACATTAGCTACATGTGAGCTTTTACCATCGCATATGATGCCCGCCTCAATATCTGTGAATAATTCTCTTTAAATATTAGTTGGTAACTTTCCACAGAAGCCCGTTTCGAAATCTATCCACGATACATCTACCAATGTACAAGCTCGTGATAGTTTATACTGGGGATGGGTAGGTGAGGGTGAGGTGTGCAAGTACACGCAGCGTGCGAACACCCCTGGTACGAGGACTTCGTTCACTCCTGACGCGCATGCAGCCTCACACTGCGATCGTCAGGGCTTCCCCGCTGTGTCATCGCTCTCCGAGCTGCAGCTCAGACCGTGTCACCGCTCTCCGAGCTGCAGCTCAGACTGTGTCACCGCTCTCCGAGCTGCAGCTCAGGCTGTGTCACCGCTCTCCGAGCTGCAGCTCAGGCTGTGTCAACCGCTCTCCGAGCTGCAGCTCAGGCTGCGTCACCGCCCTCCGGGCCACAGCTTAGGCTGTGTCACCGCCCCTCCTGGCCGCAGCTCAGGCTGTGTCACCCGCTCTCCCGAGCTGCAGCTCAGGCTGTGTCACCGATCTCCGAGCTGCAGCTCAGTGTGTATCAACCGCCCTCCTAGTCGCAGCTCAGGCTGTTTCACCGCTCTCCGGGCCGCAACTCAGGCTCTGTCACCCGACCTCCGGGCTGCAGCTCAGGCTGTGTCACCGCTCTCTGGGGCCGCAGCTCAGACTGTGTCACGATCTCTGGGCCGCCAGCTCAGGCTGTGTCAACCGCTCTCTGGGCCGCAGCTTCAAGCTACGTGACCGCTCTCTGGGCCGCAGCTCAGGCTGTGTCGACGCTCTCTGGGCCGCAGCTCAGGTTGCGTCACCGCTCTCTGGGCCGCAGCTCAGACTGTGTCACCGATCTCTGGGCCGCAGCTCAGACTGCGTCACCGCTCTCTGGGCCGCAGCTCAGACTGTGTCACCGACCTCTGGGTCGCAGCTCAGGCCGTGTCACCTATCTCTGGGCCGCACCTCAGACTGTATCACCGATCTCTGGGCCGCAGCTCAGGCTGCGTGGCCGCTCCTCGGGCCGCAGCTCAGGCGGGTCCGACGTCGGCCGATTCCCGGACTCACCTTCAGCGGCCGGACAATGGTCACCGTCTCGATGGTCTGCGTCGGCGCCATCTTCCCATCGGCCGGCAGGTGGCTGGCGCTGCAACATCACGGCACTGGTCACTGGACCGAGCGGGACTCTCGCGAGGCCACGGCGGGTCATGGGAGACAGCGGGTCTTTCAGGGAGGAGCGGGCACCGCCGACAGGTCTTGACACCGTCAGTGAGCAGCTGGCGACTGGACGATGGTAACGTGGGTGACGCTTCAAACCAACTCAACACGCAAAATAGAGTACGCAAGTCTCATCGCGCATGTGCTAAAGCGGAAGCTGCACCAGCCTAGTTGAAAGTCTTCTAGATGTATGTGGTCGTTCTAAGAAGCTAACACATTATTAAGGTGTATCACTTGCAACTGATGACACTGGCCTGGTCATTAGCACCGGCATTAATGCCTCATGTTAATCGCAATGGCATAAACAAAAACACGGTTGGTAGTGAGCATCAAATCTAGTACGTGTTGATGGCTTAAGATTGCCTGTGTGAAGTGAGTTTCTGATATCCCG